CTCTAGTAGCGTAGTGCCTAAAGCACTTGACTGCTAACCAGAAGGCTGGCGGTTCAAACCCACCAGCCACTCCTCGGAAGGAAGATGGGGTAATCTACTTCCATAGTGATACTGCCTCAGAACCCCAGGGAGGGGTCGCTATGAGTCGGGGGGCCGACTTGACTGCACATAACAACAACAACAACATTCACCATTTAAAATCCCATCCCCAGCCACAGGTGGTCTTCAGCACCAATACCCCTGAGGTGTGGGGACTGTTATTCTCATGTGATTTGTTAGGATACAGACCTGAAGAATAGTTAAGTGACTGGTCCTAGGTTTGGTAGCCATAAATAGTATAGTGGAGACTCCAACTCAGAACTCTGACTGGCTTATTGGATCCCTCAATAAGTGTTGATGACATTGATTGGGACAGGAGTAGTGCTACCCACCTTGGGGATGTGGAGATGACCAGGAGAAGTGGCTGAAGTGAGGATACTTGATGATTCTAGAGCCCCACAAGATGCAGGGTTTCATTCTTTTAAATTTCAGGGTCAGCCAGGGAATTAATGGCATCAGCAGGTAAGGATGATGGCAAGACTAGGGAGTACAATAGTGTGTCAGTGAATGGACCCAAGCTTTGTGACGTTGGGCAAGTGATTCACTTTTCTGAGCCTCTGTATTCTCATCTGTAAAATGGGGATGATACAGTTCTTATCTCAAAACTGTGTTATGAGGCTCATATAAGAATATACCCAGAAAGTGCTTAGATCAAGACCTACAAAAACCAAACCCACTGCCGTTGAGTTGATTTCAACTCATAGTTGACCCCACATTAGTTTTCCGAGGCAGTAAATCTTTACGGAGTAGATTGCCCCGTCTTCCTTCCACAGAGTGGCTGGTGGGTTTGAACCACCAGCCTTCTGATTAGAAGTCAAATGCCTTAGGCACTGAACCACTGGAGCGCCTTAGATTAAGGCCTAACACACACTAATCAGTTATTAGTGTTGGGGATGGGCTAATAAGAACAAGCAGGGTTTGGATGCTAATTCAGTCAGCTTTTATG